CCAATTTGTTCTGGGCCCGAGGTGGGCTTAATAGCCGGCGACTACTGTATTTAGAATCCAGGATATTATAAATTCAGTAACTTTGGACATCTTTATAAAAAGAATTCTACTACTTGTTTATCCTGAATCATTTACATGTACCTTTCGGAAGTCTTCTTTCCAATCTGAATCAAATGTGCATATGCTTGTTTTAATTAATAAATATACTTTTTGTTTTTCCTTCATATATAGGCTGCCAACTGTCGAGTCAGGCATCAAAAACTGCGGCGACGTGGACATTCGGTTCGCTGTTTATGAAAAAGCTCTGAAGTAGTCAGCCTTACACTCCGTCTTCCAGAGAGACTTTTTGGCATTTTCGAGGACATATTTTTTTAAAATAGACAATCAAAACATTCAAAGGGTAATCGTCTTCTTACAGTTTTTCACAAATTGCAAGTTTCATTGGGACGCTTGATACGCTGCGAATGTCTGGGTTGAAAAGGAACGTGTGAAGTTTCATTTTTAACCAATACTAGTGGAGTCAATACTTCCGTAATATGGAAAATATTTTCTTACGGGTTACTTTCACCTCTGTGTTATCTGTAAATTAAATATCGTCCTGTCGAAAAAATGGCTAGAAATAGAGTAGACAGGAGATAGAGTTGTTTTATTTATTCAAATTACAGGTAGCGGCTTTTGGGGTGGTCGAACAATGTAGAATGCGAATAACAAAAATTCGTCTTCATCGATAGTAGTTGTGCACCCAAAATTGCATGCGCTTCTGGTGTGTGGTTCTACTTGAATCTTCTGTTTTACCCCAACGGTTTTACGAGCCTTGGGCTTTATTTGTGCTACTTCTGAACATCAGAGGTAATTATGACACTTGCGTCACCATAACTAACCAGAGGATGACTTATAACCAAATTGCGGATAGAGGACGCATTGCATTTGACACAGAAAAGCAACATGTGGTCTAATAGCCGTGGACTCGGCCTCGAATCACGGCGCTAAATGTTTTCTGTTCGATTATTTCAGTTTTACTAGACACATGGGGCAAAAGGTTTCAGTATTTGCTGGTAGAAGCGAACAGGCGAATTACAGGAAGCAGCTCAGAAGGAGAAGAACACAGGCTATTGGCCTGACTTTTCGGATTCTCACTCGAACCCATCATCAGAGTCAGTCGCATATGAGGGGATCGGACAACAAGCAGTGCAGCATTTATGGTACGCGGTGGCCATGTGTCCACATGCATATTAAAATCAGCAGCTCTCATAATCAACGCTGGGCTTCATAATTGATAAAATGATCACTTGGCAGCCCTGTTCATTAATTATCGCCACTTCATCATACATGTTGGACGTTGACGTGATAATTACTCGGTGTTTTGGCTCGTCATTAGAAACGTTGGTTTTCCACGCCCTTCCCACCTTACTCATTCCCCTGCCCAGGCAATGTCTCAGCACGGAATATGGGAGTGGCAGGTCATTGCGCTTGTTGGTGGGCTTCGGGCCCGAGAAGCATGGCTTGAGCAGCTCGTGGCTCACGCGGTTTTCACCTCTTGCGATGTTTTTGGTCTCGTTGAACTGGGAAATATGGCCGGGTCCTGTCGAGTGGGATGCAACCTGCGAGTTGGCCCTTTCCTTTTCGCCACTGCTGCGTGCTCAACCATTCGCGTCCAAACTAATCTCCCGGTTTCTCCGACGTAGTTGCCTTGTCCACAGGTGCACGAAATCAAGTAAACGATTCCTGCCGTGCCAGTGGGCTGTTCAGTCTCATGATTGCTTCCGGCCTGTGTGCCACTCAAACTCCAAGTGGAATGAAAAGGTGGCTGACTGCTTCCGATAAATTCTTCAGGTACTAAAGGTTTCACCAAACTTTTCGGCCAGTTGGGTTTGGTTTCTTGTCTCTTTTCCGTTGACTTCTCAACCGGATGCACAAAGATCATTTTGGAGAAATTAAAAATCCCAAGTAATATACGTTGAGGTTGAATACGCTCTTCGGGAAGTAGAATTTTATTTCGTGAATTTTCGAGTCTA